TATGGGAAATTTTTTTATGCTCATCCTTACTTCAAATCGGTTTTCGGCATTAGGTTCTGCATAACTGAAAACCAAAAAATACCTAAAATTTTTGACTCGATTCTTGCCTCAAATGCCATTTGAAAATTTCAAACAAGGAAAAGTGGCATTTTTATAAAAAATATGAAAACATTTTATAAGAAAATATTGTTCCAAATGACATTTAGGAGTAGTTTATAAACGAACAATTTGAAATTTCAATTTGAGAAATCTAAAATTTTCAAAATAGTCCAGAGGCGTATCAAAATTTTAATAGAAATATTTTTTTTTTGATGTTTAAACTCTTAATTAGATTATTAAGATTTAAAAAACCATTAGTCAGATACAAACTAATTATTTTAGAGGAATGGTCGCGAAAGAAATCCTGAAATTATTATTTTTCCGTAGATATTCGAAAAAAAAAAATTAAAAAAAATATTTTTTTTTTCAAAGTAAAAATATCAAATTAGACTAAAAATGTCATTTGGAACAATATTTTCTTATAAAATGTTTTCATATTTTTTATAAAAATGCCACTTTTCCTTGTTTGAAATTTTCAAATGGCATTTGACAGGTGTGAGGTAAGTCTCGAGTCAAAAATTTTAGGTGTTTTTTTGGTTTTCAGTCATGCAGAACCTAATGCCGAAAACTGATTTGAAGTAAGGATGAGCATAAAAAAATTTCCCATATGGTGCAGACTTTTCCGCGGGCACTGTATATTTGGAATCAGGAAGAAAAGATATTTAATTTTATCGCATAATATACAGGGTGGTCCATTGAAAAAAGTAGAAGTTGCCTACGTTTCTCCATTTTCCGATGCGATTTTGTTTTTTCTGATACTGTCAAAAGAAAATATAGAAAAAAACTGTCAAGTTTTGTATTTGAAATTTGTTTCTATCTTAAATAGTAAAGGCTGTAGGTATGGTGCCAAATATAATCAAATACCCTATACAGGCGTTAGCTCGAGACTGTCGCAACGGCTAATAGTTGGACCTCTGATGACATGGCTACAGGTTTGATGGTAGCATTGCGTCACACTGCCTTAGATTTACTAGAGACTCTTCCGCTTGCCTATTCCCAACAATAGTTGTAACATGCTAAGTGTTACTCTCTTTTCTTTTCATCTATTATCTAATTAACTGAATTGTCGCCCTCTGGTGACTGCCATTATGAAAATAAGGTTTCTGCCGCCAATAATAATAGCAATTATTAACCTAAAGGGCAGGCTTTCCTTTAAATTTGAAGTACCAGTTTGGTTGGTTGGTTGGTTGAGATACAGAGTGAATAGGCCGGGTTAGGTGGCCGCAACACTGCAACCGCCGGCTTATTGTATTGTTCTGTCCATCTGTTTAGTCACATTCGAAGATTATGTGGGTGGCGGTTTCATCCTTCTCGTCACAAAGTCTGCATATGGGTTCTTCTTGGAGGATGCCTATTGTGTGAAGGTGTTTCCTCAGACTACAGTGTCCAGTTATAAGTCCAGTTATTAGCCAGATTTGATTCCTGTTTGGTTGTAGGATCTCTTCAGTAAGTTTAGGTGATGGTTGTTGTACTAGCTTACTGTGTCTGAGTTTCGGAAGAGTTTGCCAGTAGGTTTGGTGTTGTCTATACACCCATTGGTTTATTTTTGTTTTTACAAAATATTTTATTATGCTAATTGCCGGTTCAGGACCAGTATAACTAACTGGTTGCTGATCCTTCTCTTGCCAGAGCATTTGCTTTTTCATTTCCTTGAATTCCTTTATGCCCTGGCACCCATTTAAGGGTTACCTTGTTGACCATACTTAGGTTTTTGAGGACTTCCAAGCATTCCCAGATTTTATTTAAAAGCTGTTGAGTGCTTTATTCGACGCTTGACTGTCTGAGCAGATAAGGATGTTTTTACCTGTGTATCCCATTCTCAGGTTTTCTCTCAGACAGGAGACGATGGCATATATTTCTGCTTGGAATACAGTAGTGTATTCTCCCAGAGGTTGACTGATGTAGCATCTGGGAGTTTGTCCATATGTTCCAACACCGGTTCCAGTTTCAGCTTTGGACCCGTCAGTAAACTAGACAATTTCTTGTTTAGGTGTTGCCCCGGTGTTTTGGGTTCCAGGTTTCGTTCAGCTGGAGACGATATGTCCCGATTCTAGCCTCCGCTTTGACGATAAGGTCAATTGGTGGGAGGTTTAGGATCGTTTCCATACTTGCCGTTGGTGTGCTTTTCTGTGCACCAGTGATACAAAGACATGCAAGTCTCTGGATTTTGGCTAGTTCCAGGTTTGCTTGTCTTTGGTTCATACACAACCGTAGTGTATATCTAGTGTACAACTGACGGTTTTAGTCTCCGTGTTTTCCCAACCGCTCTTTTTAGTGACATCAACGTCATCTTGATTCTGGTGGTTATTTTTTGGATATGTTGGCCAAGGTTTTTTGGGATAGACTGAGGGCGATTAAGTCCTTCAATTTTCTCGGGAAATTAATGAGTTTTTTTTTGAGGGGTTGACGCGAAGTTGCTCCCTCGTGCATCATTTCTCAATGATTCCTAATGCGTCCAGCACGATAAGGTTTGATACCGTTCTGGTAAATCCTCTCCCAATGACAACGACTATGTCATACGCGTAGCCTAGGGTGAAGTAGCTTGATCGTTTAGTTTTCTTAGAAGTTCATCCATGACTAGATTCCACAAGAATGGTAAAAGTACTCCGCCCTGTGGACATCCTTATGTCGCGGTTACTTTAATAGAGGTTCCAGCAATAGTCGAGTTTATAGTCCTGTGTTTTAGCATGGATTTGATCCAGATGGATGTAGTATCATCAATCGCATGTTGCCCAATAGTTCTGACTATGGAGTTGAAGGAGGTGCGGTTAAAGGTCAAAAGTTAAAAGGTACCAGTTTAGTTCCAACACTCTCAGTTGGCTACTTTTCGAACGGAAGCTTTGCTTGCTCAGCTTGTCCTATTCTTCGTCTTTTTTAAATTTTGTCTTTTGACCAGAAAGGTTGATCCTGGCCTGGGAGCAGCCACCTTCCTAAGTCAAGACACCTGTCTTTCAACATTTGACGAAAACTGTGAACTTAACATGTTCAACCAAATTTTGGTGGGCCTGTGGATGCGTAAGAGCTTCGTTATGGAATCAACACCCGTTTACCAGGTACCACTTAGAACAAGACAACAGAAACCTTCCGAAAGTTAACTTACAAGAATTGGAAATCGATATTCGCCGTCTGGTTACTTTGCCCTCTCCGGAAGCAGCAGCTGAAATGCGAGAACAACTTAGTGGCCGAAAAATAGAATAGAAATAGAAGATTTCCGATGAACAGAGTAAAGCTGTGTGGATTCGTGAAGAAAAAGAGCCAATGAGAGAACTTAAAGGCGCCATAATGAAGGAACTTCTGGAAGAATAACGGAAGGCTGTTACCAAAATCATATCTAAAAGGGAGCATTAAAGGTTACCGCTGCAGAAGAAAAGGTCATTTCAAACGAGACTGTAGAGTAAAACGGAGGTCTCGCTCTTTTCCTGATGACTGTCCCCTCGATTGAGAACTTGCAACGGTATGATTTTCCTCACAAACATCGATTTGGTAAACTGTCTAACAACGCAGACGCCTTATCTAGCAGAATTGATCAGCAAGAAAGAATTCCTGTCAGAAGCTTTCGTTTTAATGCGTATCAAGAACGGAGTTCCGGACAGCTGGGAGTGATGAACTGGAAGAGAGTGACTTGGACCTCGAATCACTTATCGGCATTAGGGAAGCCAGGGATATATCAACAAAATGTCAAAAAGAAAATAAATAAATCAATCAATCCATCAATCGAATAATAAAAATCTGGAAAGCGAAGAAAGAAAGATCAGGAACACGAAGATTATTGGATTACGAGTACTACTGATCTTTCTAGAATTTCTAGATAACTTTGACTTCTGGAAAAAGTTATCCTTCAGGCGGCCGCTCTGCGGATTCCCACGAAGAAGAATGCTACGAGTGCTGTAACCATTCGCACGAAGGTGAAGGAAAGGCAGTTGCCAGCATGGCAGTCAACAGGGAGCAGGTAGCCATTCTTCTAGTATCCATGACGTCAGTTCAAGAGAAGAAGAGCCTCCCAGATATGAGGTTAGTTCTGGGAAGTCAGGAAGGTTAGACAGGCATACAGATGTTAGGCAAATGAATATATGGAATCATTGTAGGTCTGATTGGAGGTATATACGTAGAAGAGGTGTTGCATTTTGACAGAGTCAGATCGGGACGCATCAGCGACTATAAATAGGGCGTAGTAGTAAGTATCAACTCATTCTAAATAAGAGTATTGTTGTAGTCAGTTTAAATTTAAATAAAGTTGTTACTGTTGTATGTGAGTAAAATGAGTTTTATTGCATTCGGAATCCGTGACAATATATACGTTGGCCATGATATAGTGGATGACTACAGGCTGGAAGAAGTAGCAAAAGAACAAGAAGCAGAACTTTAAAATAAAAAAAATTGTTAGAATACAATATGAGCACTTTTTTTGGGAAATCCAGAAAAAAAAAAGCCAAACGAGTGTCTATACTCATACGCAAAAGTCTAGCAAGTTGTACAGATTTCATCCATTAACGCATAGTGCAATCTATCGCTTCGCATGTATTAAAACGTATTTTAAGAATGAAGGAAACATCCCCATTGCTATATGGAAACCAGAGGTCGATATTTTGGTTTCAAAAATATCGAGCTTGAAAGTTAGGCGGAATTCCTTTTGCTCGAAAGAAATTGTCCAGCAGTTTATTTAATTTGATCTCTCCCTACTGGCCCATGATCATAGAATACCTATGATACTGGCATGGATTTTCTGTCATTTCGACGAAGTAAAAAAAAATAGTGGGTATTACGAAACATCTCATAGGAGGTACCACAGTTCTTCCAGAACAACGCTTTTAACCAAAAGATAAAATAATTTAAACAGAAATATTCATATTTGTTCAGATATGCAACTTTTAACGTCTATACAATCCTCGCTTTATACTTACTTGGGTAACAAATCGCAACCCTGCGCCATAATGGATCCCAGAGTCAGCCAGCAACAGTTTCTGATATTCCATATATTCTCCAGTTCCTCAGGGTTCGGATCGCATAAATGTGGATTTTCCCAGTCGTTAGGGTTAAGTCTATAGAAATACGGCGGGCTTTACTTGTGCTTTATTTTGTATTTGAGATCGTAAAAAGTAATTTGGGAATTTATTTTTTATGGGGCTAGTTATTATGTTCAGTATATAAGAAAATTTATGCTTTGTAGAATTTAAGTCTATTTACAAAGTAATTTCTATCAGTCTCTCTAAGGCTTTACGTTCTTAATAAAATTTTACATGTTTCTTTAAGTATCAGTACACACTACGATGTATTTATTCCAGTGCCAAAGAATTCAATTTAAACATTCGCTTTTTCTTTGAAATTAATACTAAGATCTTACCTTGCTACTAAGAAAATAATCATAGATATGATCAAATATGAAGTAGCCATGTATAACCAAACGTCTAAACTCAGAGGACCAGCAAAAGATAAGAGTTCAGGAGGTTCTTTTGTAGGCTTAGCATATAAAATGCTGATACCTAGAAAAATGTATTGCAAAAACCATTTACTCGTAGAAGCTCCTATTTTGAAAAGTTCTTACCCAAAGTCATGAAAGGTGTCGTAAAATCCACAGCCAACCGTCTTTCATAGGTGATAGTTAAATCGCATACTGCTAGATCAGCTTTCTGAAAAAAAAAACAATAAATTTGTCATACCAATTGAAGGTCGTGAATAAAAAAATAATTTTCCAATTTCCTCTTGCATTTGCCAAAGGGTAGTAAATCAATTATTTGCATTCGATTAGTGGAAATGCGGATACAAGTAGACGGTAGATAGTTTATTGAATAGGTATTTGGGTGTAAATCACAGGAATAGTGTTAAGAAAAGTCTACAGTTGGTAGAACCTAAAAGTTAATTAAACACCTCTAAAATAGAAGTATTAATATTTTCTATGCCCATTATGAGATGAAAATTCTTTATCCTTCTCATTTTCAATGGGATTAGACTTGATAATCTCCCAGGTTATTACCTTATGGCACGCTGTTTTTAATTTATAATAAGCTTATAAAATCATCAAAATAATCCAGAAATAGCTCTGGAAGCTTTGTTTTTGTTGGGCAATGGTCTACAAGTTTATTAAAAGGGATTTCAATGTCTCTCATTTCACATCATTTTTTATTTTTGTTCCGCAACATGGCCAGCGTCAGCGCCAGTGCATTCTATTAGCGAACCAATTTTATGCAAATTCTACAAAAAGGATGCTGTGAGTTACATAAAGTGTTCTAAGTATGGAGTGTTATTTCAAGGAAATACCGTTGAGGCAGCCATAACTGAAGCGGAGACAAATTTTAAAATGAATTACGCAAATGTACCAATCTCAGCTTATTCAATTATGGATGAACCTCCAGATCCAGAAGAACTTCTGGATGCCGACTGGAAGTCAGTGCCACCAAGAAAAACTAGACGCCGATTTATCAAAGGTGGAAATTCCTATCAAGCTAATCAGATACAAATAGTTCCAAAGTATAATTATCTACATGTAACAAAACTAAATTGAGATACAAGGCCAGAAGACCAGAAAAATATTCTCAAAGTTTCCAGAAATAAAATGTGAGAAACATTATTTAAAAACGCCCTGAGTTTTATGCATGAATGGGAGTCACTAATCAAGCGATCTAATTTTAAAAATACTTGGAGAAGAGAAATCGGGTCAAAGGGGGAAATAATTTTGCCTTTCAATAAAAATGGATTAGATGAGATCCCTGATACACCTACTAATAGTATTCCTAATGAAGAATATTTAAAAATAATTTATCAGAATGTCAAAGGTGGTAGAATCATCGAGCTTTAAACTGCTGGAGGGATCAACATGCATATTTGTTTGGCTCCATAATAAAATAGCGGGGTGAGAGGGGTGATTTATCAGATAAACAAAAAGAAAAAAGGCCCTGTTGCCGATTTTTTTTTTTTTTTAATAAAAATGAATATTGTAATTTAACAAAAAGTATCTATTTCAAATTTTTCTACTTATAATAAAATTTAAAATATACTTGGGAACAACTTAAAAGAAGATTTTTGTCGAAAATATTAATAGCAATTATTGAACTAGAGGGCACGATTGTCGCTTAAATTTGAAGTACCAGTTCAGTACCAACGCTTTCCGTTGGAAGAGATTGTCCGTTTTCTTCGTCCCTTTTTAATCTTGCCGTTGCCCTGAAAAGTCGACTCTAGCTATCTTCCTAAGTGAAATATAAATATCGATTACCGTTCTCGTGAAAAAAGTACCTTATTGGCCATCAGGCATTATTTTAACGGAATAAAGTTGCGTAGGGCTATAATCTCGGCAATAATCCATTGATTACCGAAAAAATTTAAATAAAAAGTCTCTGGTCGATAACCGTTTTATTTGAGTAAGAATTTCGAACCCCCTCGTGGTAACTGTGGTAAGTCCTTTTTATTTAATTTTTGAAGTAATGGTTTTTCATGGAATGCCTCTATTACTTAGGGTTTACCGGGGAGTCTTTTTTTCCGAGGAGCAGTTTTTCCTAGGAGCCGTTTTCTCAAGAAATCTATTTTCGACAAGCCTCAAAGATCACCGTTTTCATGCAGCGCGGGCATAGAGCTCCTGAAGTGATTACCTAGAGAAATCGTCTCGATACACATTTGACGAAGAAAACTGAACTTCTAGCCTCTATCTACCCTGATTCCAGGCTAGAACCTGCAACTTCCATTTCCAACTTCCCTCGTCAAGTCAAATGAATGGCTGCCGTACTCTAACGTTTTCGTTGGAATTGAGGCTTGTATAGAGTATCAATTATAACTCTTATTACCTTTTTTATGAAATCTATTTTATGATCAATTACCATAATTGATTGAATTTTTCCTGACCTTACATTTAAATATTTAAAATTTTAATTTCATTCATAATATTCTTGACACCTTAGTGAACTTCAAATATTATTTACGATTTTTGATTTACCGTATTTATTATAGATTTTGTCTCTACTCAACTTTTAGTACCGCCATATTTGACGAATGTACTTATATTTTATCAATGATAATCAATCAGTGATCTGAACAGAAGTCAAGGTTAGACAACATGCTTTAAATTTAAAATTATTAAGTAAGTACCTACATCGTCGAAGATTGATCAATTTTTAACCCTGGGTCCTATAACTTACATATTTGAGGATTTCTTTTATATCTCCTGACCATTCAACCGTTATTTAACCTAACTTTCGAATTCCTACAGGTGCAAGTTGATTTTATTGAATTTTTTTTTTTTAACAGAAGCTGATCATATTTATCGATATAATATTCAATCATTTATTTATTTTTTAATAAGTTTCCTGGAAACTTAAATCTTTATATTCTCCTTTCATGATAATGGTATGGCCAGCAACTGTTAATGAATTTATATGGCAAGTATATTGAGGTACATTGTAATATCATCTTTTTATTTTTTGAAATTGATGAAACTGGTTGAGAGTTAACCTCTATTTATTGATTTTATTTAAAGTGTTTTACCAGTAAATGATTTTCATACTTTGAAATTATTCAATACTTGTGATCTCACTGTAAAATATAAACTAATTTAATTTTATTTGTTTTAGTTGCGTCAAGATTTGGTTGAGTTATATGCCGTAATTATTTCCTTTTCAGAATTACCAATTACCGTTTGCTGATTATAATTTTTTTAGGTCTGTTTCTGAATTTTCACACCCCAATTTTTGATGTAATTTAACTATTTTTTTTTTTTTTCAAATTCAGTGGCGCCCTTGTCATTCTGTACTTATTAAACTCTCAACCCACCGCTAATAATTATTCGCTGAGCAAACTGAGCATATTATGGGTCTCTTGTTAATTCATTCAAAAGGGGTTACAATACCTAAAATAATTCTACAATAACAAAACTTTATATTACACTCTAATTTGGTTTGAAATGGAACTTCCTACCTGCTTCTAAAGAAAGTTTTTACAGTTTGGCAATGACGTAGTGATTGTTTGGTATTCCTTCAAAAAAAGAATATATTCTTTTGACTTATCTACCTGTTCTATCTTATATAATATTCCCACCCTCTCTGTCTCGCTTTCTGTTTGAATAGATCAACCTGGGTCTGTGGAACAGCAAACCGATTCAGCTCAGCTCAGTTGTCCTAGTTACATCTAGAGATACGTTTACGTTGTCATGTTTTTGTGATTTTTCATAAACGTACAAATAGACTGGTTCATTAACATTTTATATTCAAAGTGCGAGCGAGAAAGCCTGGTCTCATTTTGGAGCTAAACAAATTTCGTAGCACATTAATATCGTTATTAGTCTAGAGAGAAAAAGTGTTCAATGGTCGAACGGTAGGACAAAAACTACAATAATACACCACAGCGTACTTGCTAAAGATTGGGAAATTATCTATATCAGCGTAACTTGGCCAAGTGATCCATTTTCTGATAATGAGTTATGTGATAAAAGATTTGTAATGTTCAGAAATGATAAAGATTATGCTAATTGCAATATCGATGGTCAAACACAGAATTGATCATTATCTAATTGGGGTCGGTAATGAACAGCTTGAAGCTATCACCATCGCAGCTTACCACTGGCACTGGAATGGTAAACGAAAGATCAATTTCGCCTGCACAGAACGAAAAGCAGATAATATTTATGACTTATTAGAAGGCATATGTCTAACGATTACAATTATTGGCCATTTAAGCTCCAAATCGGAAGAGTGGGACACCTTCACTACGAACGCTATCGGCAAAAGACGATCCTGTTTTTCGAAGAACAACAACAACAAAAATTATATTAGGCGCGGAAGATCCAACCTATTCACCGGTCGGTATCGGTGACTCCAACGTCCCCGACATAGACCTTATGCAGAATGTTACTCCGCAACGTCTGGTCATGATCCGATTTCTCTCAATAGTGGCACTGGATCTGATCCTGCAAAGATCAGACAGTAAGAGTAACAAGGAGAGCAGCAGAGTCGGAAAAATTGCATTCCGTTCTCAAAGAAGCCCTTAGGGAAGATCCGTCAACATCAAGCAGGAACTCGTGCATGCGGTGGTTTACAGGTTTTTGAGCTATGCGGAACGATGCTTTTCTGGCCCTAAAGGTGTTAGTGGTGATACCCCAAGGGAAAGAGTGTGTAACGTTTTTAATTACTTTGGATTAAAAATCTGTTATTGCGTAAAACGACTTCGCTGAGTCTTCTGCTCTGATAATTCACATGCTCAGCCGAACAGCGAACTAAACATGGAAATGAGACATCCCAATTGGGTAATGCTCAATAAATAATATAAAATAAAAGGTAAAAATTGAACGTAAAGAAACCTGTAGTCACTACTTCCAATTCGAGGTGTCATCAGGGACGGTAGGCACTATCCATCAAAGACCATGAAAATGACACAAGTAGGGACACAGGAACCTTAGGGAAGCATGCCGTCTTTATTGAGCTGGCCCAAAACTAGTCCTGGATGTAGGAAAAGGAGTACGATCCTATCAGAAAATTAAATTACTTATGTTCTCTTTTTTATTAAAGAAAGGTGGAATAGACAAAAAGCTTGTCTTCAAAGTTAATAAAGTATAACAAGACGCAAAGTACATGACTCACCCTGAACAAGGGATTCCTATACCATGACTTAGTACGCGATACAGGCACTGGCATCAACAGAGGTGGTTGCA